GACAAATCATTGTTCGGTTGGTACGTAATCCACATGACTCATAGGGTGGATTATCGATTCTTGTGTTCTGCATTAAACTATTTATAGTTTAAGGGCCTGATTAGAAATGTTGCCTTAGACTAGGAATAGCTAAGAGCTTATTATAAAATGATTTGGCCTTAGATTAAGAATAATTTAAGAGCATGGTTGAGATATTGAATATCAAATGACTTGAAATAAAATATTGAGAATATCATGAATGTTTGAATCATATATTGTGTGCATGATATCAAATGGTTGATTATGAATTGAGATTCAATTTATTTGGATGTTCGACGCTTTAGATATGCTTACTCAGCTTCACCGCTGAGCGTGTAGTGTGTTTTATTTGCTACACGCAGGTAGGTAGAATGAATGATTGGCTGATTCCTGGCAGCAGAAGGGGCGAGACAGTCGTGGTGGATCATTGAACAAAATAAATAATTATGTTGTTATGAGACATGTTTAAAAGTCGCTTCCGCATTATTATTAAACACTCCGTATTTTCTACAATTATGTATGGAATATTATTTATAAATAAAAATGTTTGAATTGTTTTAAATTATCACGATTACCAAATCAATACTTTAGTCCGAAAGAGACTACAGACCTGGACGGATTAGAGTGTTACAAAAATTGTTAAATGATTGAAAAGAATGATTATTTATTTCGGTGGGGTTCTAGTGACACCAGAGAAATGGTGCCGCTAACGGTGCCACTAGTGGTGCCAATGCATAATAGCCACACATTTTGTGGGGGAGTTTGCGGCGGGGTTGGGGTGGGATGCAGGGGTGGAGGTAGGGTGGGGGGTTCAGGGGTGAGTTAGGGGGTAGGAACCGTCAATTTTACGAACGGAGCACTGGAGATGCCCCAAAAATGCAGTGACACCGGAGTGGCACAGTTCTCCGGTGTCACTAGAACCAGATCGTATTTAATTACGTGAATTTTCCTTTCAATTCATATTAGTAACAAGATATTCTTCCTTTGTCTTAACATTATTAGAACATAAATTAATGACATACAAATTCAGAAATAATGTTTTTATTAATGATATTGGCAGTGGCGAATTCAAGAATTCTAAGATATGGGCACTATTGGTCGGGGTCCAAGGGCACTCCGAATTTTTTTAATAGGCTATATGAAATGACCAAAAAATATTAAATTTTATTTTAAACATATATTGACTGTAAAAATTTTTAAATAGGTAATATGAAAATTTATTTCATAAACATTTAATTATTTGCAATAAAATATACTTTACTAAACAATTAAAGGAATAAATAAAATTAACCTAATTAGATGGGTTGCATTCATTTTTGTTGGGGTCACATAAACATAAAGTTTTAAAAAATAAAATTTATCTTATTACAAGAATTTAGTAGGGGGCATATATGCCCCCAACTCCTACATACTACATCTGCCACTGGATATTGATATAAAAAGCCTAATAAAAAGCAATAATATATACGAGTCACAAAATATTACTCCGTATTAAATATAGTTTGAAAAACAATAATGACATAAGAAATTAAGAAAAATTGAAATAAATGGAGCATGAAATATTTTAATACAAACATGAAATTTTAATAATAAAAAATTTGTTTCTATAAATTTTTAGTTAGTCTATTTCGTGCAAAAACGTTTCTAATTTTTTCATATATATCCAAGTTTTTAACGGATAAAGCTAGGGTAACGTTAAATATTTCGAGGTTATCATGAACTCAAATTTTGTACAGACAAGCATAAACTGTGATTGTTGGTGCTGCATTGACAATTATTGTCTCTGTTTGTTTGTGCAAAACTTATTGTCATGATAATTCCAAAATGTTGGAGTTATTCTAGCATGACTATTTTTCAATTTCTCATTTTTTGACCTTTTTCTAACTTCTTTCGACTTTTTCTAATATTCAACTTTATTTTCCAAATCCATAAAACGAAACCTAACTTTACCAAAATTTTGTTCACCAAAAGTTGATAAATGGTTATGAAAATATATACCACCTTTATCATGTGGTGTTTGTCCATTTTTAACGTTTTACAGTCAAAATAAAAAAATTAACCATTATTTAAATAAAATTAATATTAAATAATGATAAAAATAATGTTATTAATTTATACTTTCAAAATATTTTTGAGTTAATTGATGTACCACATAATTTTATTTATCTACTATCCAAATACTCCTAAATTTATTTTTATGATTGCAGAAAATCAAAACTATGTAGATTATGTATTATGTATTTTCCTAAATTGAAGCGCCCCTTAGGGCACTTGCAATGGAGTGGGAAACACTGCCACGCCGGGCTAAAGCAGAACGGCTTCCGGGGCTAAACCAGCCATAGTGCACGCTGCTCTTATAGCGTCAAGCGGGGCTCGATTTTTGCTTGAAACGGGCAGTGGCCGTCTACTGTAGTACTACGCCACTTCGCTGTTCAAATTTCTTTTTAAAAAAACTTTAACTTTATAAATTCAACACATCTTCCACTTTAGTCCATCCACTCTCATCTCTCAGTTCGCTCATTTTTCTTAATTTCTCTTCATTTTTCTCATTTCACACAAAAAAATGGCTTGATCTTCCTCTAGCAAATGATGAGGTCGTGAATATGTTAATTACGACGTACCATGAGTATTTGTCTTTCATCTAAGCAGAGATGCAAAGTGAAATCGCTCGACAAGTTGCGACTACTACTACTCCTCCAGTCCTCCCATTCCCGTAGGCAGATGTACATTTGTCGGGACTGTGAGCAGACACCTCTAGCCGTTTGTTTGAAGGTTATTTTTTAGACGTTCCGCATTTTTCTAGTGAGTCGTTCTGTCAGTGCTTTCAAATGTGTCGTGTATTATATTCATTTTAATGGTAGAGGAACTCGCAGCTCGGGATGCCTATTTTCAACTGCATCCGAACAATGTTAGACGAGAGGGCATGTCTACTCTACAAAAGTGCATAATCGTGATTAGGCAGCTCGCGTACGACACCTGCACTGACATGTTCGACGAGTACCTCCATATTAGAAATTCTGTAGGCCGAGAATGCTTACAGTATTTTTATCGATGTGTCATTGAAGCTTTCATAGACATGTATTTGTGAAAGCCAATTGTCCAAGATGTTCAGATGTTAGTTAATATGCACGAGTAAGTGCGCGGGTTTTCAGGAATGATTGGTAGCATGGATTGTATGTGGGAGTGAAAAAATTATCTTGCGGTGTAAAGGGGTGCATTCACAAGCGGTTACAATGGCTCACACCCGACAATTATGCTCGAGGTGATTGCTGACCATCGTTCGTAGATTTGGCATGCGTACTTTGGAACCACTGGATCGAACCACAATCTGAATGTGTTGAATAAGCCCCTTTTATTCAACGATGTTTGTACTGGACGTACGCCATTCGTGCAATTTACCATCAATGGTTGCCAATATAACATGGGATATTGTTTGGCGGATGAGATCTATCCATGTTGACCAGTGTTTGTGAAAACAAACACGCGTTTGACAAATCAAAAGAAGACATTTCTCACGCAGAAACAAGAGTCGGCACAGAAAGATGTGGAACGTGCATTCAAAGACCTCTAATTGCAGTGGGTAAAAGTGAAAGGCCCCACACGCCTGTGGTGTCGATCGCTCATCTTGGGTATCATGTTTCCATGTTTTATACTGCATAACATGATAGCTGAAGACGAGAGAGCAACATCACTCATTTCACAAATGAGGGGGTCGCATCAACTCCTAGAGCCTCAGTTCGCCAAGGTCCAGCGACTCAAGGGCCACCTCCCGATTTACAAGATTGTGCAAATCAGCGTGTAAGTACATTTTGTGTTTGTGTAGTACTAATTTTTGTTAACGCACCAACTCTTTATGTCAGTGCAAATTTTTGTTAACGCACCAATATTTTGTGTCAGTGTGAACCATCAAAATATTAGTACATATTTTTAGTGTACAAATGAAGTACAAATTTTGTGTACATGTAGCATGCTTCAAAAAAGAAAAAAACAAAGAAAACTGAAATGCCCCGACCCGACCATGCCCACCCCTACCCATCAGATTCCATTTCATTTTCGCCAGAATTTGATTGCTTTTTCAACTTTCCGTCCGGCGGACTTAGCAATTGGTCAGTAAAATCGATCCTTAAATTGCAGTTATGAATCTTGAACAGATCTTCTTGCGGTAGGCCATCCGCATTCTCGATCTTGTCGCGCATCTTTGTTTGTATTGCATTGATCCTATTTTTCAATGGGTTTTCTTTATTGATCCATCTTCTTGCGTTTCTTGATTCTTCCGATTTCCAGGGTTGTCGCACTTGAACTCAATGATAGATCCGTGAAATCATGAGACGGGTTCCTCAATTAACAGGTTTTTCGAATCCTGCCAGGATCGTTTAGGTTTTTTCCAAATTCTCAGGAAATAATTGTTGTTCAGTGATGAAACACATTTGAATGAGTGTGGTGGAGTGAAGAATCTTGATTGTGCACTTAGTGGGTGGTGTTCTTAGAGGAGGCTATGGAGTGTCTTCCTGTTGAGGTAATTGGGAATATTTTGTCTCGGCTTGGGGCGGCAAGAGATGTTGTGATTGCCTCTGCAACTTGCAGGAAATGGAGGATTGCCTGGAGGAACCATGTCCACACACTTGAGTTTAACTCGAATGACTGGCCTGTATATCATGATCTCTCGAGGAGTAGACTTGAGATTATCATAACAGAGACGATTTTACAGACCACGGGACTGGAGGGACTTTCCATTGTCATGGACAATGTTGACGAATTCTCTGCTTCTCCGGTGATTGCTTGGTTGATGTACACCAGAGAAACCCTCCGCCGGCTCCATTTCAATGTCAAGACGACACCCATCATAAACATACTCGAGAAATGTGGCCACCAGAAACTGGAAGTACTCACACTCGCACACAACACCATAATCGGCGTTGAGCCCAGTTATCAAAAGTTCCCTTGTTTGAGGTCTCTTTCCCTGAGCCACATTGGCATATCTGCTTTGGATTTGGGCTACTTGCTCACTATCTGCCCTAAAATTGAGGTCTTGAATCTTGTCAGCTTGGACATTGTCATGTCAGACCCACAGGCAACCATGGAATTGAGCAGTAACTCCCTGAGTGAGATCTACATTGAAGCCATTAACTTGGACAAGATTGTTTTGGAGGCTGATGGGTTGGAAAAGTTGCACCTGAAAGACTGTACGCTCGAGTTCTTTGATCTTGTCAGCAAGGGAGGACTGAGATTCCTCAAGATTTATGATGTCAGCGTCATCCATCTTGACATCGGCGAGAGCACCGAGAATCTTGATACTGTGGATGTCAGCAACTTCACCATCATGTGGTCCAAGTTCCACCACATGATCTCAAAGTCGTCCAAACTGAGGAGGCTTCGTCTGTGGGAAGTGGTGTTCGACGATGAGGATGAGGTTGTTGATATCGAGGCAATCTCTTCTTGCTTCCCGCAGTTAACCCATCTGTCCTTGAACTATGAACTAAGGGAAGCAGCCCTTCAGTATGGTTTGCAAGGTTCGTTCCAGTTGGAAAACGTGGCTGCTTTGGAGCTCGGTTGGACTGTGATTAATGACCTCTTCTCGGACTGGGTAGCCGGGCTTGTAGAGAGGTGCCCTAACCTCAAGAAGCTAGTCATTTTCGGGGTCGTCTCTGAGACCAAAACCCCTGAAGAGTGCCATACACTGGCTAACTTCACATCCTTCATTGTAAGGCTCATGAGGAAGTATCTACATGTTGAGGTTCAGTTCGAATACGAGTAAGAATGAAGGTATATATGGTTGATTGTGATTCTTTGGTGTTGAGAAATTGTAAATCATATTTTTTTTGGTTTAAGTTCAAGTTCAGACAATGTATTCAATTCTTAATATCCCCCTTTTTTTCATTCTTGGTTGGGTATAATTATAAAACTTTCAGTATCTTTGGGTGATTTTCAATATACTTCCACCATCACCTTTTTATTTTGAAAATCACACATTTTATGAGTAATTACTACAAGAGAAATCTTCACACTTGGTTTGATCCTCAAACGAACTCTACTGGAAATTGTCTGTTTTTTCAACACCACTATGGCATTGTTGACGGTGACAATGATTAAGAAGCGTTGCTGGTAGTGCAACGGTGGATCCAAGAATTCGGATAGTTGGGATCACAACCAGTACGGGGTTTAAGGGTAGCGCCCCTGGATTCTTTTTAAATACACATTGTGAAATTTTATTTTAGAACCAATTAATTATATCTAATATAATACACTTAAAAAATAAACAAAAAATTAAAAAATAGCCATATTAGAGATGGGCCAATAAATAGTTTGCTAAAACATCATACAAGATCCATTCACATGATTCTTGATTATCCATTACACATGATTCTTGATTATCCATAGTGTACACATTGTAGAGTTATACCGAGTAAATTTTTTCTCCTTCATCTTTTAAAGATTGGGAATAGTCAAAGAAATCCTTGGTGAGTGGTAAAAGTTAGTTCTTGCAAAGTCCTCATTAAAACCAATCAAAGGTCATGTTTGGAAAATAGCGGTTGCATGTTAGTGTTAGCTGATAAAGTTAGCTGTTTTAAATGATTGGTTGTGTTAGTGTTAGCTGAAATAATGTTTGGCAAACCTACGTGTTAACAAGAGCTCTTCGTAGAGGAAATTACCTTTGAGGACATGTTCCTTGGTCTATTAATTTACCTTTTTTAATTGGATAGAATCAAACATTATCTTTTTTTTAAAGTCCGCTGATATTAAAAAAAATTATCCGTTCCAAATTAAAATATCTGCTTATTAATAATTAACTCAAACTTTATTCACATTTTTTATCTGTTTTTGTTAATCATTTGATAAAATAATATAATCATCTTTCAACTTATCCCCTGTACATTGGCCGTTTGAGTCCAAAAGCACCCTAATAAAAACTTATTCCAAACACCCTATACATTCACAGTTTGAGAAGTAAAAAGAGCTGAGGTGGTCAATCAGCTAATAAACGGTTGATTAGCCATTTTCCAAACATAGCCAAAGATAACCCATCGCAAAATCTTCACAAGCAATTGAAGACAGTGGTCACAAAATCTTTTGTTCAAACAATTGAAGATAGTTCATGCAAAATCTTCCCAAGCAAGTGTTTCTATGTGCTAATGCTTAATGACTTGTTGCTTATAAATATTTTTTGACTTTTAAGCTACTTATAAGTTAAATATCCTTTTGTGAATGTAAAATGACTTAAATGATAAATAAGTCATTTGAGAATATTAATAAGTGATGAGGAATATTTTTATAAATAATCTGATGCAAGGCCAAAGCTGAGGTGAAAAGCAATGAGAAACACCCTCAACACGAGGATGAAACATCGACAGGCAAATCCCTACATTTTAATTATCATAATTACAAAAACAAATGTATGTACTTATCTGAAGAGAAAGATGCTGAACTGAACTAGATTCAATTATGTCGAAGTCGATTGAACAAGAAATCAGTCAAAATGAACAGCCTCTTCTAATGTGAAAACTAGAAAACAAATTGTAATATCACATTATCTTTCACTCATTACCCAGCAGTGGAAAATGGGGTGATAATGTACAACTTCTAAAATGGGTGGGGGAGAGGAAGGGAATTACCACATATATAGAATTGCAAAATGGTGTCTATATATTAATCTCTATCATGAAGTTCATTCTTTTTTAGTTCCAAGTACAATATCGATGCCAACAGTTGCACTTATCTGTTCTATTGTTATATAGCTGTGGACTGGTCAGTGGGAACAGAAGCCAGTAGAAACTCAGAAGCCCAGCTATAAATGCCACTGTTATTAGCCCTACAACTCAAAAAACAACATTTCTGATTTAGATCATCAAACATGGCGAACATATAATTCATGTAAACGTATCTGTGCAAAGAAATTCTTCCTTATGCATGTATATATATGATATGACTTGAAATGGCATGTGAGTTTTTAAGTTGGAGTTGAAGCAGATGATTACCTGGCCTGGGAGAAATTATAGCGGGCAAGCCCATATAATTACAAAAGATGTGAGCAACAAGAGGAGCCAGCAGATGCCCTGAGAGAAAAATATGGTATGAGCATGCAGACTTTATACTTTGAGAGTTTGAGCTTAACAGTTTAACACAAAGCCGATTGCCAAACAGGCCCTAGTAGGAAAAGTGACTAAATGATGGAAATATAAAGACGAGTGTGGTTAAACAACCATGTCTAAGCATTTCCCACCTGTGCGCACATATAGAAATGAAGCATATGATCCAAATATGACAGTGTAGCCGAGCTGGAAACCTGCAAAGAAGAACGCATTAAATTATGATATCAGTATACCTATCAAGTTAGAAATGGTAATTTCATAGCTTCATCAAGATTGACTACTCTCTTGGAAATGGAAACTTCCACCAACACAAACAGGAAGAGGGCGAGAGTTGCATTCAAGGATTGAGAATGCGAACTGTACCAGCAATCATAAAAGCTTTGACCAAGCTACCCCTTCGTTGGGCATACTCCAATAAATGGTTCAGATGAGCTGCAAAGGAATCACAACTGAGTTCACTCATGTTAAACAATGCAAAAATCACATATAGAATGCACAAGTATAATCCTCATCTCCTAATATAATATGCTTGTTAACAACAAGAGCAGTAACTAGTGAAACAAATATTGTTTCTTACCTAAACTGAAAAATATTGGGCAAAGAAACACAACAGTGTACACATTGAATCCTCCACAAAGAAGCAAAGGAATCATACACGCTCTAAAGACAATCTCTTCTGTAAGTGGTGCCTGTTCAGTAAAACAAAAGTGGTTTTTATTATTGAACATTGAGTCTAAACAACACGACACAATAATTCAGAAGTAAACAAGTTGCAAGGGTATGTAGTAGGCAAACCTTAACTCAAATAGTCAAATCTCAATCATAAAATGCAAAGCAAGAAAATAGGTTTTAGTTACTTCTTTCCTAAAGTTTGGCATTTAATAGTGGTGAAAGAAGTAAGATCAATTTATTCAACTTAGCTTCTTAGGCATATCGATATCACAACTTAGCTGACTTGATACTTTGATCAATTATCACATCTATTTTATATGAAATTACTACAGCGGATTCAGAAATATGGTAAATTAATAACATCACGTCATCACATAATGGAAGTCAAAATCTCTCACATACAAACATACGGAGTACAACATACTAAAGTCATAGATGCTGGATTTTCCATTTAAATAGAAATTTCTAAGTGTGTTAGATCATAAGTTCGATTGAGGAAATTAACAAGCTTCTAAGTATTGCAAATTGCAGAAGTGCTTATACTTAGGACATCTTAGTTCTTGCGTGGACTTTTGCAGTGTACCGAGATTGCTGATAGGGACAACATTTCACCACACTTTTCCAAGCAACTTGGTGCAACTAGTTTAATTTACTTTTATTTTTATTAACTTATCAAACATGGTGTAATTGTTTTCTCAATTTTTTAAAACATATATCTTCATTTAAAAAAAACATTCCAACAATGATGCAAAAGTTAATTTATCAAAAACTATTAAATGCACATCAACCTTTTAACTAACAATCGTGGTTACAATATTCATCACCACATCTACCTTTTCATGCACAGCTCCAATTGTGGACTTATCTTACTTCCATAAACCATGTACTCCCTCCGTCCCAAAACAAACTTCAAACTTACTTTTTTGGTTGTCCCAAAATCAATTTCACATTTATCCTTTTTTCCTAGTGCAATTTGCACGAAATAGTACTAAAACATACTCCCTCCGTTTTCAAAAACTCTTCCTCTTTCATTTTTTTTACTTCCAATAAAACACTTCCACTTTCTTTTAAAAAACCACTTTTACCCTTACTTTTTCATACCCTACCTATCACATCATACTTTTTCTCTAATACTCAATCCATCACATCTTACTTTTACCCATCACATCAAGGGCAAAATTGGAAGTCAACTACAATTTAACACTTCCTTATTTTTACACAAAGTCAAAATAGGAACACTTTTAAAAAACGGAGGGAGTATGTCATTTTCCAATGTAGTACTTGAACTTTTTTATTCCCGAAATAGTACTTGAATAATGTCTAGTGGCGGGAACAATGTCTAGTGATGGTGGACATTTAGTTTGAACAATGTCCAGTGACAATGGACACTTGAACAATGACCAGTGGTACTACATTGGAAAATAAAAACATATGGTACTACATTGGGAAAGTCACTATGTTTTAGTACTATTTAGATAAATTTCCCTTTTTGCTATCTAGGAATGAAATATGTGGCTCACAATCTTTCTTTCTAGTCTAATTAAATTTCAATCATCCACTTTTACTTTTCAACAATGTTCTTAAACTCTGTGAAGTCAAACACTAAAGTTTATTTCGGGAAGGATGGAGTACAACATAGGAGTTTTTGATACTAAGCCCATTATTTGAGTGCATTGAAAAATCGAGAACAATCCTATAAGTTGATGCAAGCATTCTAATGCTACAAATACATGGCTTTCATCTATGATTAAATTTAACTAAAACTAGACCTTAACTAATCCTATAAGTTGACATAGACATTCTAATGCCTTTCTTTTCCCTTGTTACATAGATGTGCCACTTAAATTTGACAAACATGGTATTAACATTATTAACAATATACACCATATTAACCAATGTCTTTTGCATATTTTTAAGAATTGTTGATTGAAAAGGTTTTGATATTGAATAACCAAACACAAAAATGGCATTTATATATTTTAGACATTATACATATGCCATTGTTAACTAAATGACCAAACTGTAGTCAACAAGTTGCAAACAAAATTCATAAAGAGTGTAGTTCTCAATTTAATCAAGCAAGACAAAAAGCCTTGAATCACAATGCTAACTGCAAACATGCTTTCGTATAAAATAATAAACAACTAAATTAAGCCAGAAATTGCTGTGAAAGTACTGACCACAATATAATTACGCCAAGCTGAAACATCAGAAGCTAACGAAAAGACTGAGTTTATGAACATTTGAGGGATTGTTTTAATGTACCCTGACAAACCCCTTGTGCCATCACTCCGATTCCCTTTGCAGAGATCAAATAGCAGCAAAGCCTTCAGAAGAGATCCGGCATACATAAGAGCAGTTAAAGATAGAGGAAAGACGACAGCTTGCCACTGTTTCACATGCAAAAATTACATTTCAGCACTTTCCGTTTTACAATCTGTGCATCACAAAAGGTTAATGCTGAAAAAGCAAGCCAAGCAATGTGTGACACCGAGAAAACAATTGCGAGAAGATTTGATACTCACTATGTGGTCTCTTCTGACACCAAAAGCACTAAGCAAGTTCACTGCATCCCACCTGATCTAGAAACATATTTATATATTTAAATTCAAGCCATCAAACACACTAGAACATATATAGTATACCAAAAAAATTACCCCCACTAATTATAATGTGAGGCATTAAAGAAAAAAAATTAATCACAACACCAACAACCCATTGTAATCCCACCTTCATCGGGGTTTGGGGTCAAGATGTACATAGTACTCTGAAAACAGAGGGTTTTTAGGTTAAACCCTATATGGATTTCTGCATTTACTACCCAAAACATCATGGAAAATTTAAGGAACAAGAGAAGGGTACTACGTAGTATGTCATATTGATTTTAAAAAAAATCTTCCGCTCAATCAAAATCTTCATATGGCCGGCTTTGAATTTCATAATGTGCTGACAGATGTCGGTGCTTCTACAAATTGAAATGTGTAGTAGGAATTCATACAAACAGCTATACAATCGATCTAAGAATTATTACAGTTTTTCAAAGATATATACTACGCCGTGTAACAATATAAACACAAATTGGACCGGATCTTACATGAAGGATGAGAGAGCAGGAGATTACTGAGGCAACGGTGAAAACGGCGGCACATATGAACCGCCGAACCATGAAATCTTTGTATGAACCGGCCGGCGGCAAGCGGAGAATTAGCGTCGGCAGGTAGAGGACTACGACGTAAAATAGAGCCATGGTAGTACATGATAATACCGCCGTCCATTTCGAAACGCCGGTGGTGCCGTAAGCCAAGCTACCAGTAGCGGCTTCATTCGTCGCCATCGGAGTGGCAATTCTAGTCATTCATGGACTATCCCACCGAATTGTGTGTCTGGAATCTGGATATGCGGATTCACCCAATGTTGACTTTCTCGAGTACATGAAAAATTGAATAGTATTCCTTTTGCCTTACTTTTTTTAGTCAAATCTTGTAAAATTTTGACTACAAATTAAATATGGGAAGAATTTTCTAGATAAGAGTAAAAAAAAAATAAAAATGTTAAAATACTAGTTCTAAGTCTTTGAAAACCAAAATATGAGTTTACATTGTCATTGTTACAATGTCACATTCACCACATTATAACATTGTAACTCTCAAACTATTATTGTCACAGTGTCATCGTTGTCATCGACCACTAGAGTGCTGTTGCTGATTGACGAACTGCGTATAACGGTAAGTCAACAAATAACCGAGTCTAACTCCGGTCATTCTCTACAAGAGTGACGAAGGGAATAGTTAGTTTTATTACTCCCTCGTCTTAAAACTTTCTTCCCACTTCTCCTTTTTTCCCATCCTAAAACTACCTTCCCATTAGAAAAAAGAGATGAAAAGTGACATTAATACCCTCATGTATTTACACCAATTATCTTCTAACTCTATATTTTGAATGATTGCAAAAAAAATTTCAAAAAATCTTTTTAAATGAGGGTAAAATTTGAAGTCAAAGCCAAAAATTAAAAATGGGAAAAAGTCAAAGTGGGAAGAAAGAATTAGGACGGAGGGAGTATTTATCATAGATAGATTTATAATCTAAGAGATACGAACAATTAAGAAATACTCCCTCCGTCCCACTATATTTGTCCACTTTCATTTTTGCACACCATCCAATACAATTTTTTAATCCATTTTATCTTGCAATTTGTATATTAAAAAATTATAGAAATTATATATTAATAATCTATATGTTAAGACAAATCAAACAAGATCACGCATGACTATATTTAGGCTTACACATTGAGAGAATTTGATGAATCAAAGTGCTTAGATGAACAGTTCCAAAAGTCAAAAGTGGACGAATATAGCGGGACGGAGGAAGTAAGTGACTAAAATGAATGATAAAAAAACTTCAGGAGTTAAGATTGGAACGCAGACTTAACACAATTTAACTCATCTTTAATTAACAATTGGATTAATGAAATGTGTAGCACTTATGTTTAATATATCTCCTATTTCTAGGTCTCAATATAAACATAAATGATAATCTTATATTTAATACATCTCGTATTTCTAGGTCTCAATATTAATTTTTAAGATTGTTATATTTCCAGTACATCAACAATTTCTAAGTCTCAGTATTGTGTTAGAAAATGATCGGCTTAAATAATTCTAAATCCGCATAGACAAGGCAAGAACTATTTTCCAATTAATTAATTAATAAAACGTTTAGTATTATTAATTAGTTAAAACCATTCTAAACCGTTATTTCTACCCTGCCTATTTCTAGGTGTTCGGAACGTGTGGCTTAATTAATCTTATTACCTCATAGACAAGATAAAAGATTAATTTCCAAAGATTAATTAATAATAAAAACAATTTTATTAATTAATAAAGATTAATTCATTTTCTAACCGTTAATCCAATTACGAATAAATAGATAAAATTAAATTGGTTAAATCTTAAATCCAAATCCTAACACATATATAATTACCCATTCATAATTTCAAACAAGACATCCAACATCATCATAATAACATATAAAATTCTCAAAGACATTTCAATCATCAACAAAGTGATATTTTATTGACAAATAGTTCAATAAATATGAAAAGAAAAGAAAAATTGTAACGCCCCAAAACCCAGCTTAGTATTTTAATTAATTTATAAAATTAATTAATTATTGAGCCTGTCAATACGAACATTATTTTCTAATTTGCCTTAATTAATGAGGGTTAATCCTTCATTGTAGAGCTCGCTGTTCTGAACCCGATCGTGCAAACGGGTCGTGAATTGGATCTACAGGGTCCGAGATACGATTGACGAATAGGTTAAACTTATCCTAATTGGTTAAGTGGTGTAAGGTGGACTCTAAGTATATTTAATTATATAATAAACGCCCAGGAGGTTACGGAAAGGATACGCACGGCGTAACGCACGTCTGGTCTCTCTCTCTCTCTTCCGTTACCTTGTGTCCGCCGCTGTGCCGTCGACTGGAGACGCCGACCAGGAGTCACCGCCATCTTCCTCGTTCTCCGCCGCTATTTCCGTCCGCGCATCGCCGAAGGAGAGGAGCAACCGTCCGTTCTCTCGCTCGTCTCCGCCGACCAGGGCAGCGCTGTGACTCGCCGTCGACTTCAGAAGTTCCGGCGACATTCTCCTCTTCTTCCTCCGTCGCGTGCAGCAGGCCGGCGATACCAGGAAGGAGTTGCAGCGGCGAGTCCTTCCCAATCCAAGGTTGAATTCGTCAAATTTCGAGGTGAATCGTGATTCCTATACATATAGTTAGCGTTAATTTGTAGAATTAGTACTTCCTTAGCTTCTAATCTTGCAAATGATTGTGTAATTGGGTTTGATTGTGGTTGAAATTGTTGGGGGAATGTTGGGGTTGTTTTCCGTCACCTTCTCCGGCGACGCGCCGGCGGCGTACG